CGCCACGGGGCCGGCCCAAAACAGGTACCATTATTATCTTACTTTATTGATGAGGAAACTGAGGCTCAGAGAGTTGAAGTCACTGGCACAGGGTCACAAGCTGGTGAGGAGGCATAGTCAAGATTGGAATCCAGGCAGTCAGATACTGAAGCTATATCATCCAGATTCTTATGAGGAATTCAATCATTTTTTGGAGGATTGGATGGAAGCTGCAGATGTTGGAGCAGTGCACATCCACGCAGGGTTTAGATATGATTTATTGGGATCCACAGAACCCAGCAGGACTCTAGGGGGAGAACTTTGGGAGTGGAGCCAAGGGTTGGAGTCACCCAGTGGCCAGGATCTGGCATCCTGCTCACTTCCCGCTCCTTTAGAGCACTGGCTGGGGAACGCACAGGATAATTCAGTTCAGTTCACCAAGCACATCTGGGGCCCCTCTCTGCAGAGCCGGGCATGCAGGTGGTAAACATCCTGGCCTATGGGTATTTGTGGCCTCCCCCTGCTCTGGTTACAAGTGTGCAGCTTCTAGGGGGGGCTTACGGGGGCTGTCTGGAGGTGGGAGGGTGGGGATCCCTGGGTTTTGTAGTGGCAGCTCTCTGCCCCTGGCTAGTTTAGTTTTGCCTAAATCTGGCTTGCTTGCCCTAGCAACTTGGTGGCACTTATCTTTTGGGTCTGCTATGCCCTGTTTCCTGATTTTCCATTTGCTGGACAGATTGCTTAGTTGGGCATAAGGTTCCAGCCTGGACTGAGGTGTCTTTATGCGACATCTGCCGCATTCCTGGTTCTGACCTAGACACAGCAGTAGAGCCCTGAAGTGCAGATACCTCAGCCTTGCCCTTCAGGCACGTACTGGGAGGCTGCCTGGCCTCTGTGGGATGAGCTTTGGGCTAACCACTTCTCTGCAGCATGTCACCTTGAATAGGTAAGAGCCCGCACCTGTCTGAGCCTCATTTTCTCATCTGGAAATGGGTTGAGGTGAGGATTTAATGAGATAGTGTGAATATGCCCCCTTTGGAACTCAGCACGGAGCAGGAGCCCAAGGCACATGGTGAGGATAGTGAAGGCCGAACAGCAGCTCACCTGCCTGCCAGTGTAAGTGGTTCTAAACCCCTTGCAACTTCCAACTCATTTTAACCTTCTCCATAACCTCGTGTGGTAGGCACTATCATCCCCACTTCAGAGATGAGAAAGCTGTGACTCAAAAAGGTAACTTGTGCAAGGTCATACTGCCAACAAGTGGCAGAGCTGGGTGTCAAATGTGACACCAGATTCAATACTGACTCCAGAGCTGCGGCCTAACCACCATACTGTCGAGCCTCCTTACTGCAAGGAGAGAATAATGGGAGGCAGTGGGTGGCCACTGGGCCCGGGTCCTGGGGCACAGGGACGGTGCATTTTGGATTTTCAAATGAATGAAATTGTTTGCTGTGTCATGTGTTGTTTATGCACAGGCAACTCTGAGATGAGTTCCAATATTACCCGCATCTGAGGCTCAGAGAGGCAGAGTCGCTGTCCCTGGGGCTCACAGCCACTGGGGGTGGGGTGAGGGTGGAGGGGGGATCCAGTTCCTAGCCTGGTCTGGACAGTCCCTCAGCCTGTGTTCTGAGCCCTGAACCCATTATGGAAAACATCACCCCAGCACCCTGTAAATACATCCTTAGCAAACCATGTGACCCCCGTTCTGGGTCAGTAAAGATGGTCCCGCAGACTTGGGACACTGGCCATTCCCGCCTCCTGGCTGCTGACCCCACTCCTCCCCTCTCCGGGACCTGGAGGGCTCTAGGACCCAGTAGGCTGGGGAGTGTGTGGGGTCCTTGCAGGCAGGTTCCTCTCTCCCTCACCCCCCATCCTTTCCTCTCTGCTCTCTCCCTTTCTCTCCCCTCCCTCCCTGCTCCCCCCTCATCCTTCCTCTTCTCTCTTCTTCCCTCTGCTCCCCACTGCCTCTGCTTCCCTCCCCTCCTCTCCTTTCCCATCCTTTCCCTGCTCAGCCCCCTACCCCGCTCCTCCCACTGCCGTGGTCACATGGTGGCACCGCCGGATTTAAGCTTAATCTGCCTGGTGCTCAGCACAGCAGCCTGGCTTGGGGCTCACAGGCTGAGCTAGGTTTTAGGCCCTGGAGAAGGGGGCCAGAGGGGTGCCCACAGCCTTCCCCCCCATGAGCTTGAGGCTGTTGGGATCACTGGAAGCCCAGCTGGCACTGGAGACGGTTATCCAGGTGGGTCCCCAGGGGCTGTGCCCACCCTGTCCAGGGAGGGGAATGTGGGCCTAGAAGGAGTGGTGAGAAGCGGGCGCATCTTGGAGGGGTACACAGGGCCCCAGCTTGCAGCTCTCAGCAAGAGTAGGGGTGGAGAGGTGCACTGGGTGCAACTGCTGTGGTTCTCTTATCCCAGTGCTCTGCTGTGGAGAAAGGGGGGTCTCTACTCCGTTTTAGGATTCGGGTGATCTCTGGCACAGCAGGATCCTCACCTCTCCAGGGTCAGGGCTGAATTGGAGCCCCCAACTTTCTGTGCTATCCCTGTTGGGTTTGTGAGTTGGCAGCGGGGTTTGTTCTCTAGCCCTTGGGAAGGGGCATCCTTTCCAGGGCGGGGACACACAAGAGTCTCCTTCCTCCTGGGGGGCTTTTTGTGATTGTAACACCCAGGCTTTGCTCCATCTTGGGGGTTTCCTGAGAATCTCCTGGGCACCCATATCTTGGGCAGCAGGACTTTGCTCTTCTCTCCCAGAGGCCAGGGAGCCCAGGGTCCCAGTTCCCTAAAGACCCCTCTCTTTCCCCACAGGCACTGGAGAGTGGTGTCCTGGAGCCAAGCCAGGAGAGGGGCCTGAGTGTGCAGGACCCTGACCAGGACTCTCAGCCTGCCAGCCTGCCCGCCTGCATCAGGGAGATTGTCACCCGCAACCTCTCCCAGCCTGAGAGCCCAGGTACCGCTCCCCAGCCTCTCTCCCTCCACTGATGCTGCCCACATTTCCCCTTTTCCTACATTCCCCTTGTCAGCAGTCATAATGACGATAATGATTATAGCTTCCATTCCTTCTATACTCACTGTGAGGCAGGCACGACCCAGGGATTAAGGGACCCATTTTACAGATGAGGTAATGGAGGCTCAGAAATGTAATTTGCCCAGACTTGTTCCCCATGTGATATGGCTTGAAAAGAAGGGCTGAGCATCCCCTCCCTGCTTGTCTGCAGCTTGCTGCAAAGACTTGAACCCCAAATACCATATTCCCTCCCAGGGAAGGTGTGAACTGGCTGAACCCGAGATTACAGGGGGAGGGCAGCTCAGCTTAGCTCAGGGTTTTGCAGAAGTCTGAGGAGTGGGCTGTTCATTCCCCACCTGTGCAGGAAGGCTCGCGGTCCTGCTCCTCCTGGCATGCACAATCTCATTATGTGGTTGAGGGGCTTAGTTGCAGCTGCTGTGTTGGCAGCTCTACTTGATGGTATTTCATGTGTTCCTGTCCAACTTCCTGGTTAAGGATGGGCCCTCTCCTTGGGAGGACCAGGGATGTTGGGGCCCTTGGTCTAAACAGGGAAAGACTTAGAGAGCCTTCATACAGGGCTGGAAGAGCCTAGCAGGCTGTGGCTGCCTGAGGGCCGTGGTATGCATCCAGTTCTCCCAGGATAGAAGTGGAGCCCACAGGAGGTGGAAAACTCTGCTTCTCTCTCTGGCCTTTCTTTTCTTCCTCTCTTTCTCCTCCTTAACAACCAGACCTACACTATCTTGAATGCTGTCTTAGAAGTTGCGTGAAGCCCTTCCATTGAGTGAGGCTTTTCAGCTTTCCTGGCAAGGTCCAGATACTGTTCCACCCATTTTACAGATGAGCAAAACTGAGGTCCACAGAAGAATAGTAATTGGAGAAGGCCTGCTGGGGCCACACTTTTGTTGTGTCCACTCTAAGTCCAACTCCAGGCCATCTCTTTGCCCACCCTTCTGTTCCAGCTCCATGCACAGGCTTGGTGCTGCAGCCACTCCCACCTGGCCTCCCCAGGGGCCTGGTTGATCTTCTTGCCCTGAGTGGTGCACCAGTAGGAGATCTACTGGCCAAGGTAGAAGCTAACCAGGTGCCCACTGTCCTTTGCCAGCCCTGCTGCCGGCCACAGAGATGGCATCGCTGCTGTCGCTGCAGGAGGAAAACCAACTGCTGCAGCAGGAGTTGTCCCGCGTGGAGGACCTGCTGTCCCAGAGCCGTGCTCAGCGTGATGAGCTCGCCATTAAGTACAATGCGGTCAGCGAGAGGGTGGGTGGCTGCCCGGGGGCTGGGGGCTGGGCCAGGGCTCCCCCACTGCTCAGGGAGACATCCAGACGAGGCCCACACACAGGGTGAAAGGTGGGCCCTGGAGTCAGGCTGGCTTGGGTTCAGATTGTGGCTCTGCCAACTTGAATGACCTCAAGCAGATTACTTTCTGAGCCCATTTTCTGTAGGGGATGGTAACATGGAGTCGTTATGAGGAATCAGTGAGATAACGGAATGAAGTGCTGGGTACCAGGGCCATCTTATTCCTGTCTGTCCCAGGCCTGCTTGGAGTGTGGGGCACAGAGAACAAGTCCTTTAGAGGCCCTTCCTGCCCTGTGAATCTCTGGGACTCTCTCTGTGTTCCGATTTTCATGAGCCTTGGGGTCAAGGCAGTGGCTGGATGCTGGGGCAGGCTGGCGGAGGCACCTGCAGTGTCCTGCGGGTTGTCTGGGGCAGCCACAAGACCTGCCACTGCTCCTCATCGGGCAGGGGAGGCAGGAGAAGCCAGGCCTGTCTTCATGTCCAGACAGGATTCATATCACCTGGGGACCTGTGCTTCAGGCTTGGGGGTCCCTGAGCCTGGAGCGGGAGGTTGGTGTGGCCCGGGGCCAGGGGTGCAGGATGCTGTAGGTGCAGTTTGCTTTGGGCCTCCAGGCTCATGGAGGTGACCCTGGGGAATTGATGGTGGCTGGAGGTCGGTGAGAGAGTTGCTTGAAGGACAGAGTTTATGTGTGCAGGTGGGAGGCATGTGGTGGCGATAATAGTGGTGATAGTAGCTACCATTAATTGAGTGCCTACTGTGTGCCAGGTGTGGGCTGGGTGCTTCGCATTTATTTATTCGTTTATTTTTTGGTGTGTGTGTACACATTTAGTTTTATTGTAACAAAGTAACTTGTACACTTTTAACTTTTAAAACTGAACATCATCTTTCCTTTCCAGTGAAACAAGAAGAAAATTTAAAAATAAACAGGAACAAAATTACATAGAGAATGTCAGTTCCAAATAAGATCCTGCAGGTTCTGCTGACTCTCCCATGGAGTGACAAGGCTCAAGTCACCATTAGGAGAGAGTTTTATTTCAAAAGTGCCATCTTAAACTGCAAGGATATCCATTAAACATCTTAATTAAACATGCCAAAGGAGAAGCCACGTGGTCAAAATGCCCACTTAACCCACCCAGATATCCAAACCCACCCTTTGTTGACCTTCTATAAACCCCATTTTTAAAAAGATTTTTCCTTTCTTTTTTTGTACAACAGAAAGTAGACAGATACCTGTTGGTAAATGCTAACTGTCCATGTTCACATAGAGACACAATGTAATCTCCGAGCCCGGTATACAAGAGAAAAGAGGAAAAAGCTAGAATTCTGTGCACTACGACACAGGGGCTAGCACTCCCCACCCAGCTGCCAGCAGAGTGACGGGAGCAGGTTTTTCTTTTTTCCCGTAGAGCCCAGTGGTGTCGACTTCATATGGTTTTTGTTGAGACAGGAAGGGATAAAAATGAATTTGGAATAGAAAGGGGTAGAGATTATTTTCCCATTGTATTCTGCTCAAGGCATTTCCCTCAACAAGTTGAGAACCATGGTGCAGAGAAAAGAGACCTCAAGAACAGGGTGGCCAGGTGCCTCACACTTAATGTACTGCGGTCAGGACCTTTATGATGCCTACGTAACAGAGGAGAAAACAGGCTCAGAGACGGAAAGCACCGTGCTGTGTGCTGGGAGCCACACAACCAGTTAGAGCTAGAACCCAGGTCTCCCAACTCCAGCTCAGGGCTCGGTGTTGCTGTTTTATTTCCTATGTACGGGAAGACACTGGGCTAGGGACTTAAAAAGGCAGCTGGCCCCTGAAAAGCTGGAAGGGACCCAGAGGGGCAGGGGCTGGCCCAGGGTCCCCTGTGTGGTAATGCCAGGGTTAGCCTGGGACCCTTGAGCTAGACCTGTCCATGCTAAAGCCTGCACATCCGTGTTGGAAAGGGGGTCTGTATATTTGTGTACGGTTGTGGGGTGTGCTAATGTCCTGGTACCTGCCTGCCTGGACAAGCCCTCGGCTTGTTGGGACTTGCAGAGGAGCAGTGTAGGGGGCCCGTGGTGGCCCCTAGCATTTGGGACAGGGCAGAGCTAGTTTTCCCAGGGTCTGCGGGGGTGTGAAGGGCGGGCTGGCTCAAGTCCTGCATTGTTGGTGGTACAGGGGCCCTGAGCCAGCCCTCTCCTGGTTTAGGCCTCTCTTCTTTTGGTCCGTGGTACAGTGCCAGGTCCCCCAGGGGCTGCCTCTTGAATGCCAACTTCTGACTGACAGTGAAGCCAGCACTGCCCCCCTTGCTGGCAGGAGAAGGGATGAAGAGATGAGAGGTGGCGGGTCACTTCTCTGCTGGGACACAGATGCTGGGGCTGGGGCTGCAGCACAGGGGGCCTCCCTCATGTGGTTGGGGAGGCCACTGAATAGCATACAGAGGTGTTTGAATTGTTCTCTGTCCAAGATGGTTTGAGCGACGCCCCATTTGGAGGAAGGGATTAGATGAGAATGACCACGAAGGTCTTTCCTATGGGCTGGGTCCACAGAGAACCTCAGAGCCTAGAGATCACCTTATTAAAGATGGGGAAGAAGGGCCGGCCTGTAGCTCACTTGGGAGAGCGTGGTGCTGACAACACCAAGTCAAGGGTTGGGCCGGCCCGTGGCTCACTCGGGAGAGTGCGGTGCTGATAGCACCAAGGCCCCGGGTTCGGATCCCATATAGGGATGGCCAGTTCGCTCACTGGCTGAGCGTGGTGCTGACAACACCAAGTCAAGGGTTAAGATCCCCTTACCGGTCATCTTTTAAAAAAAAAAAAAAAAGACAAGGGTTAAGATCCCCTTAC